TTTTGAATTTCCTTTACAGGGACAGAACCGCCCCCCCCCAAACACCTGGATCATATCTGCTCGTCTTTCAAGAACAGCCACCACCCTGGCGATCTGTCAGTCAACAAGCTACACCTAGCATCTGTGAGGTGGTGACAGCCAACCCCACTTAGGCTCAGCACAAACGCACACCAAAGGAAGAGGATTCATCCCAAACCCTGCTCATAAAGACACCTGTGATGTGCTCTATTTCATTCACTTGCCTCTCCATCTATTGCTCATGTTCTCAATCCCAACCTGTAGCAGTCTGTGGAGTCTGTGGGCTAATGAGGGCAGGGAATACATACTGTAGTAATCCAAAGAAGATGCTAACAGAGAGATATGGGGCTGCCTTGCTGCTTCCAGAACTCTGTTTCTCCCTCTGTGATAAGTGAGAAGAGCCTTGTTATTGTTTTTATAGCCTAATCTTCCTCTGCTCTCCTGCTGGTCTCGATGGGGCTAGAGATCAGGGCTATAGGCTCAAAAGGAACCATTAATGGTGTTCTCCTCTGGTTAGAATGGGCTAAGATTAAGCTCACCCTTGACAACTGGCTGCAAGTACATATTTGATGCCCAGTCTGACCATGAATGGAATCCAAGTTTATAAACAATTGTATCTGCATGAGTTAAAAAAATATAGCTCAAATCTTATGAGTTCACAAAACCACAGATAACTATCTGAATGTTTTCCTAGGAGATCTACACAAAGGGAAATGCTTTTCATTCTCGTGAGCATTTCAGACTCAAGTATGATCATTTATAGGCAGGAAATATTTTCATTTTCTGGGTTAAGAATACAGGGCTTTGTATTATTGTACATTAAAAGATAAGTTATTCATTCTTTCTTGGGTAATACCAGGGTAGAATATGAACGATTCTTAATTCTTTTCAGTTAGCTATAGGTTTCACTGTTTATTACACATACACACACACACACACACACATACACACACACAGTGTTGTTCCTGTGGCTTGAACTCAGGGCCTAGTCACTGTCCCTGAACTTTTGCTCGAGGCTAATGCTCCACGCTCTACCAGTGGAATCACAGGTTTACTTCTGGCTTTTTGGTAGTTTCTTGGAGATGCGTGCCACAGGCTTTTTTTGCCTGGGCTGCCATCAAAGAGCAATCCTCAGATCTCAGCCTCCTAAGTAGCTAGGATCATAGCCACTAGCCATCACCACCTGGCTGCTAATCCTGTATTTAATACAAAGAATGAGCTACAGTTATTAAGCGGCACTATCCAGGGTAGATGTCTGCTGTCAGAGCATTGGCAAGTGTGGTAGTTAAGAACTGGAAGTGGAGAAAATGGGGACTTCATAATCTTGTCCTGTAGACATTGCATGGAACCAGGCTCACCTAAAAGTTATCTAGTTAGCTCTGACCTATCCCATTCCACTGTTATCTAAAAGGATTCCAAAGAAGGAAGTCATATCAGTAATTTTACTTTGGTCTGAATTCATGTCCGTGTGTTATAAGGAATATAGTTATTTGTTCTGCCATCTGCCATTCTGCTATGCAGTAGATCCTCAGCATCCCTGAGTACAAGGTTCCCCGGAGACCTCCACTGGGTAAATGCACAGAGTTTAGTACTGTACTGCAGATGCCTGATGCATTTCTTTTGTACCATCCACTGACTTTCACTAAAGATACGCCTCCTTTCAACAAATTTCAAATTTTCTCCTTGTCACTTAAACATATTCAATTTTACTTGCTTCTTAGGCACCATTTTGCTTTTTTTTTTTTTAAACCATTCACTATTTGGGAAGCAGAATTTCACAAAATTTAGGGGAGGACACACAGCCATGTAAACAATCCTCATGATCACGTGGGCCAGGGATCAGCTGAGATGTACAATGCAGGGCGTGGGGGTGGGGGTGGGGTGG